GTATATTGCTAGCAATAGGATTCTCAGTCTCCATTACTAACAATCACTTTCCCCCAGCCCCAAGAAAATTAGACAGATTCGCTTTTTCGAAGTCACTTAATTATGGCTTCTATCATACTAAAACGTTCTTTTGCTCTACCTTAATCTTGGGTCTAGCTACGGCTCTGTTCGAAATACTCGTATATGCCGGTAATGATTCACTCCATTAAACTACATTTTGTGTATGGGAAAATTACAAAATTTTCGCATTTATGGTGGCAGAATGTCTGTATTGCGTGCATAGAATATTTTCTTAATTATTTCAATGTAAATAGTGTGTAAATATGTATGTTGGCTGTTGTCTATAAATATAAGGAAATAAATTAACTCACTGTGTTTTGTTTTAGCGAGAGAAGCATTTATTCCTCAAAAGATTCGCGAAGCAATAGAAATTAGTCGTTACCAATATATTTCAATGGAGACAAAGGGTGGACTTTATCACAGTCGTGGAGAACGTGTCTCTAAGGATGGCGAAGATTAATGCATGAATTGTTTAAAGAAGATTACAGTGAGTTTTATATGTGTTGAACAACTCAAAAGAGAGTAGCAGAGAAGAAAAATCAATCATAGTAAACCATAACTACAGGAAATCTAGCAACTCATCTTCGACAACACCATTGTCTCTGGTCACCGCAATCTTCGCCCTTACCGCCTACCGTACCGTCATCACGGGCTATGCGAGCTGAGGTCCGAGTAATTTATTGAATACTAGCTGATTCCCGCGCGTATGTTATTCCTGTTTAGTATGTATCCATGTATGTACGAGTATCTACCTATTTATTATATCTGGAAATACTGGACTAGAATTAATAAATAACGTGTCGTTCGCACTCTTTGCCTTACGTCAATATGACTTCACTTAAATAGGTTTTTTGTTTAAACAAATTAGAATGGCAAACAAGCTAACGGCCCACCTGATGGAAAATGGTAACCGTCGCCTATAGACACGAGCAGTACCATGGACATAACAGAGTATACTGTTTCGCCCATGATACCCCCCATGCGTTGCCATTCCTGAGGACTCAGTTGTTATTCCTCTGTACCCTGTAAATTTACGCCATATCCCACCCTTCAAACCGAAACACAGCCATGCAAACACAACTGCTTCAGAGGTATCTAAGCAATCGACTTTTGTACAAAGTCTCCCTCTAGTAATTTATGTACACGTAGACAGTAGCTCCCTCTATCTACTACCGTACACACAACATACGAGACAATACTTGCCCGTGGACAGAGTTTAAAATACAAAATGTTGAAGCCGTTTTATATTTTAACGTCCGCGCACGGTAAGCCTAACTTTCGTCCCAGCTGATTAATTCACCTTTTAGTTTGCGCGCGCCTAATTTTGAAAGTTTCCGTTGCAGACAAATTTTGTCTGAAGCCTGCTCTGAGTGTGCATGGCTCCCGTGGGTTAGCAAAGCTGAACTTTAAGCACCAATTATTAAATCACTTGTGAAGTTTAGAATACTTTGCCTTTTCACGTATTTCACATTCGAGAGAAGGAAATCATGAAACAAGTTATATCACCAGAGGGGAACTGTATTTTTTTTAATGGGTGATAATGGAATGGTAACCCCACCCGCGCTATTGGTATACACCGGCGGGGCACCATGGAGGGATGATAGATGACGATGAAACAGGTTAGTCAGCCCATCGTGACGAATTCAACAAGAATTGTTCACGATGTTTTCCAGGGGAACCACGTGGAGGTCGACCTGATAGAGCATATTGCTAGCAATGTCGAACTCTATTGCTAACAATCCCTTTCCCCTCGGGGAACTGTATTATAGTCGTCTGCTTGGGTACCTTGGATTGGTAGCTGTATGACTATGTTTCGGGTTAAAGAGAGATAGCAGTGATATCATAGGGTTTAACTAAACAAACAAATAAGTGCTACATAATCGCACCGATCACCTGGTTCTCAAGCTAGTATAGTACCTATGTACCACTTAAAGAATAGTAAAAAACAATACATATATTTTTTAACAATAAACATATTTCGCCGTGTCGGTCCCGGCATAGAATGGACCGCCCCTTCTTTTCCCGTGGGTGTCGTAAGAGGCGACTAAGGGAGCTTCTGGTAGAGGGATGGGCAGCAGCATCCCTCTTAAAACATCTGTAAAAGCTTAATAGCGGTCGCCAACGCGCCTGCCACGCGTGGCAACTACTGGCAAAACTCCTCTTATGGGGAAGGCTTATGTCCAGCAGTGGACAGTTAACGGCTGAAATAATAATAATAAATACATATATTACACATATGAATTACAAAAGGCGTTCTCATTGCTAAAGCAATCTCTTACAGACAAACTTTTGGTAGAGGAGAAGAGAAAAAGATTATTTCGTGCAATAAGTATATCTAACAAAAAAATTGCGTGTTTAAAAAACATATGCAAATAATCATATGCATACCATACCACTTAAGTATTTATAATAATATATATTTTATAAATAAATATTTAAAATATATAACACACATTTAGATACGATATCGTAACCTTAACAAAAAAAGCATATTCCTTTTTAAAAGGTCGATAGCACACCTGCAACACCTCTGGTGTTACGAGTGCTCATGGGCGACATCAGGTGGATCGCCAGCCTGTTTGCGATTTTTTTATGATACTTAAAATGAACTTTTTGTCATTTATTGGCTCATTTCTAGAGTTGTACCATAAAAATATAAAGAAATCCTTATGGTGCGTCGTTTTTTTTAATACTACTTTGATGGCAAACAAACACGACCCGTTTGATGGTAAACGCAGTTCTCGCTACCTATGGATGCTTGTAACACCAAGAACGTCATGAGCACGTTGTCGAACCTAAAAAACCTTAATGGGATCTTTTTGAAAAACCCCACGCCGCATGTTTTTGATCTTATTCTAAATATAATTTTACTTCTGTTCATTACAGAATTATATACTACTTCCTATGCCACTGTGTTAGGTTGACTGGAAGAAATCTCTTTTAGAGATAAGTTCGCCTTTGCTAACATTGTTATTAACTTATTGTTGTTACTGTATGTTTTAGTGCAATAAAGAATATATATATAATTGATTACGTATCTAAGATATTCGACAAACAAAACGTTGTCTTCACTAATAGAATGATAAACATTCTAACAAGCATTAATCGTCATCTGTCAAGATCCCATTTCACCCTTCTTTATCGAACGGAATGTCCGGAGAGGGAATGAGGCAAATACTGCATTTTGATATTACTGAATCCCTGCTTATTTACGTAATTTGTGAATAATTAATATTAGAAATAGATCTTTTAATCGACTTCAAAAATAATGAGGTACTAAATTCGTTTTTTTATTTCTATGCTTATAACCTTATAACTTCTTCAGTTATAAACTGCTTTGGAAAATTCTTTTGTATCTTAAAGGATATAAGGTTTAGTTTTTAAATCAAAATAACTGATTTGCTATAATTTTTTTTTTGTGGAACACGACTTTATTTATCTTCTACCCAATCATTGTCATGCTTTATTCAAATTATTCCCCTATATTGAGGCATTATACATATAGAAAAGCAGTCGTGTTTGCATGGCTGTGTATCGTTTTGAACGGTGGGATATGGCGTGAATTTACAGGGAACGGAGGAATAACACCTGAGTCCTCAGGAATAGCAACGAATGGGGCGTATCATGGGCGAAACAGTATATTCTGTTATGTCCATGGTACTGCTCATGTCTATAGGCGATGGTTACCACTTTCCATCAGGTGGGCCGTCAGCTTGTTTACCATTCTAAGTTGTATAAAAAAATAGTAATATTAAAAAAAAAGAAAATTATATTTTAAGTTTATCGCGAGCACAATTTCCATTGTCAAATAATATGAATCATATCAAATCACAAAAGATACCAAGTTCGCCATTAGTCATGTCTCCCTTTACGGGCAAACGAGAGTAATGACTGTTTTCAATGAAATATATAGGGAAACAATAGAATTTGTATGTAAATTTCTGCGAGGTACGAATACTGTTTCGTAAATTGGTTTCCTCGATATACAAACGTTTTGATTGTCATAATATACTATTAAACGTAAAGCATTATATTAAAATAGGAATACAAAACTGTATATTTTTAGATGTAAATTAAAAAAATAAAATTACTCAAATTTCTTTCATTACATTTCATTTTTAAACTTTTTTACGAGTTTCTATTAAGTCTTTTTTCGTTATTAATAAAGGTTTTTTCTTTTTTGTATAATTTCAATAATTTTAAATTAACAAAGAAGTAAACTAAAAAAGCTTGCTAATAAAAGTAAAAAGAGGAAATTTTATTTATTTATTTATTACATTACATAATATAATCTAACTATCGTCATATTTCCTTGTGTGTCCTATGTATATATTTATATGTATATGTATATGTAGTACATATTATTTGTTATAATAAGTAGTCTAATAAACAATATATATTTGATGTTTTTGTGTATTATACGTAAAAAATATTAATTCACTCTTGCGCCACCTACCCACTTCTATATGTTCTCCATTAACCAAAGGTTGTCTGTAAGAGATTGCCCTAGCGATAAGACCGCTTTTTCTACCTTTATATATATTTTAACCTGTACTTCATGATACTGTATTTCAGTTGAATTGTTTATATGTCATTGTTAATTTTTACGTTATTGGTGCAATAAAGAGTTAAATAAATTAAATAAATAAATAACTTAATAAGACTCTACTTTCTATTGTTACAAATTTTTAACCTCATATCAAAGTGGAAAGTAACTGACAAAGATGTATGTATATGTAACGTAAATTTATTTTTATTAGAATTTATTGATTAATTTTAACTATCCCACCGATAGTTATACATTTTTAAATAACAATTTTGTGAAAAAAAAATACTATCGTCAATACTATTACGTATTCTTGAATATAATTATCACAATTATCAAACAATAAACAGTTATCTTGCTAAAGCGGAATACTTTTAATAGATATAGAGCCTTCCGTATCTGTAGACGCGTTGCTATGTTTACAGTCACATTGTTATCTATCAACTATTTATAATATGTATTTACATTTAACTGTCAAATGACGTTTGTGTTTTGGCATTCTGCAAAAAAGAGGTAAGAAATCTTTATACGATCATCTTCTTTCTTACTTACTAACTTATTAAACCCATAGCTTCATAATTCATCATTTCAGCCATTATTCATCCACAGCTGGACATAAGCCTGCCCAATAGACAGCCACCTGCAACCACTGACTACCTGGAACGCATTTCAGGTCGTCACTAAATCTATTGGGAGGTCATCCTACGCTGCGTTTACCCGAACATGGTCACCACTCAAGAATCTTTTTTCCCTATCGGTTGTCGGTTCTTCGAGCTATGTGACCAGCCCATTAGCACTTCAGCTTGCTTATCCTTCGGGCTATGTCGGTTATTTTGGTTCTTTTCATAGCTTATTATATTGTAAATACTCTTACTAAGAGATTTCCTCACTCTGTGTGTTTTATTGCTTGTACAACAGACTGTGCTCAGAGGAATTGTTCAATATGATGCTCACTGCCACATTCTACCATTGTACAGTTCTCCATCAACAGGGAGTTTACCCCTATACTTTACGAGCATAGACGGTCGTGTACAGCGCTGATTCAGATATGTTTCCTCCCATAAACGCTCAGGTTATGGAATGAACTCCCTGTCGAAGTTTTTTTAAAAAATTACAGCATGGTAGCATAAAAAATTGCGGCATAATAACTTCTTATGAACACTATGCTGTAATTTTTCAATTTAATTACAAATGGTTTCTTCAGGGTCGGCAACACGTGTGTAACGCCTTTTCTATTCGTCTATTATTATAGTCTTCTATCATTACTATATATTTTAATTAATATCTCTGACTTTATTGTGAATTGGTATATTTCATGTCGATTAGTCAAGTTGTTAAGGCATCAAAAGTTAATAAATAAACAAAATCTGTTAATTATTTAATCTGATATTTTTACATGTATTTTAAGAAACCACAGATAATCTATTTTTACAACTAAATTGTGTAATATGTGTGGTGTTGTGCTTTTTCGTTTAATTTAATTTTCTTAAATGTTTCAAGTATTTTTATAACTTTTCAAGCTGCTGGCGGGTAACGTTATAATATAAACGTCGGTATCTTGAGGTATTTTACTACTTGTATTGCAATTTGTATTTTATATATATATATATATATTTTTGTAATTATTTATTTATATTTGTTATATTATTATGCCAATAACGTCGGATGAAGATATTAACGATGATTACTTGTCGTTGGAAAGCACGATGAGTGATGATAGTTTTCAAAGTGCTAACTATAACTCCCTTACCGATGTTTTGATTACAGAATTCGCTGATGTACCTAAAAACTTTAATGCGGTACACATTAATGCGCAAAGTATTCCAGCACATCATTCCGACATGCTTCTTACTTTCGGTAAAAACAAAAACATTCATGCTATCCTAGTATCCGAATCCTTCCTTCATCCATCATTACCATCTACCTCATATTCTCTTCCCGGCTTTATTTTACTTCGTAATGACCGTATTTCTTCGTGTCATGGTGGTGTGGCTATTTATCTCCGTAGCCACATTCCGTACGCAATAGTAAGCAAATCTCCGCAACCTCCTCCCCCGAACACAGCTGAACACCTTTTTCTTGAGATTACTCTCTCTAATACCAAAGTCCTTCTTGGAGTTTACTATAGTCCAAATCTAACTATTAACTACTTTCCTTCTTTTGAAAATCTTCTTGAAAATTTAAGTGCATCATACAGCCACTCCATTATTATGGGAGATTTCAATACCTGTCTTCTGAAGACTGACTCTCGTGCTCGCTGTCTCCAAAATATTATGAAATCCATCAACATGACTATACTTCCTCTGAATGCTACGCATTTTTTTCCAAATTGCACTCCATCCCTTCTAGATTTAATAATGGTAACCTCTCTTAATCACGTTGCGAGACATGGTCAAATTAGTGCAGATGCTTTCTCCTATCATGATCTCATCTACCTTTCCTATAAAATCCGACCTCCTAAACCTAAACCTAAAATCCTTTTGCAACGAAATTTTAGTGGTATGAAGATCGAGCAGCTTCGTGAGGATGCGTCTAGAATTGATTGGACAATCATCAATGAGGCTGACACTATGGACGCAAAAGTTGAAATTTTTAATTCTCTTCTCATACAACTTTATGATGTTCATGCACCAGTTCGTCGAGTCAGACTCAAGCATCTTCCTGCTCCTTGGCTCACTGATGATATTCGCCAGCTTCGAGAAAAAAAGAACCGAGCCAAGGCATGTTATAAAAATGACCCTGCCAATTCAAGAAAACGGGATAGATATCATCGTGTGAGGAATCATTGCAACATGATGTGTAGAGATGCACGGCGGCACCATATTCATCAGTCCGTTGAAAATGAAGACCAAGCTAAAGTTTGGAAATTTCTTAATTCAATGGGAGTTGGCAAATCTCGAAATACAAACATTTCTAATGATCTTGATCTTGACATGATCAACAGTCATTTTTCTTCTTCCTCCTGTCTTGACAATGAAGTCAAAACTAATACTATAAATTATCTTTCTTCTTTATCCACTCCCAGTCACACTCCTTTTGTCTTTAATCGATTTACCGACTGTGATGTTAAGAGAGCTACATTATCCATTACCTCTAATGCTATCGGAGCTGACGGTATTAGCCGTAAAATGATCATTCCTTTGTTAGATCTCCTTATTCCCATTATATCCAGTATCCTTAATTTTTCCATTTCTTCTGGTTCTTTCCCTCAATGTTGGAAAGATGCCCACATCGTCCCCATACCAAAAAAAACTAACCCATCTTCCTTTAGTGATTATCGACCTATTTCATTACTCCCTTTCCTATCTAAAGTACTTGAACGATTAATTCATTGGCAATTGAGTTCTTTTATTTCAGTAAACAGCCTTCATAACATCCTTCAATCTGGTTTTCGTCCTGGTCATAGCACGGCTACAGCTCTAGTCAAGATTTCTGATGACATCAGATTTGGTATGGAAAATCGGCAACTTACTGTGCTAACATTATTGGACTTCAGTAATGCTTTTAATACTGTCGATTTTGATGTCCTGCTTGGAGTCCTCAGCTCTCTTAACATATCTCCAGCGGTAATTGATTGGTTTCACAATTACCTGTATGGACGTCGGCAACGTATTAAGATTGAACAAAACACTTCATCGTGGTGTGACACTATGGCCGGCGTACCGCAGGGTGGTGTGCTGTCACCTCTTTTATTTGCCATCTTCATCAGCTCGATAACTCTAGAAATATCTTCTTTCTACCACATGTATGCAGATGATTTGCAAATATATTCACAGACTGCTTTTGATAACCTTGCTCAAGCTATAAACCAAACTAACCATGACTTGAGGCGGATTCTAGAATGGAGTAGGTGCTTTGGCATTCGGATTAATCCAGATAAAACGCAAACGATTATTATTGGTAGCCCCGCTTACATATCCAAGTTAGATATATCTAAATTACCTTCAGTGGAGTGTAATGGTGTTTGTGTCCCTTTTAGTGAATCTGTCAAGAATCTTAGTATTTACTTTGATTCCACTCTATCTTGGAGGTACCAAGTGACCGAGGTTAGCAGGAAGATGTTCGCTGCTTCTGCGTCGCTTCGAAGACTTAGAAACTTTCTACCTACAGCCACTAAAATTTCCCTAGCTCAATCCCTCCTACTCCCTATCCTTGACTATGCAGATGTCGCTTATCCAGATCTAAATATTGATATGCTAAATAAATTAGAACGACTTCAAAACCTCTGCATACGATTTGTTTTTGGTCTGCGCAAATTTGATCATGTATCGCACTATCGCTCTCAGCTTAAGTGGCTTCCCATACGCCGGCGAAGAGATTTACATACCCTCTCTTTGTTACATAATATTCTTTTTAACCCTGGTGCACCTGCCTATCTTAAAGAACGTTTTAAATTCATCTCCTCTACCCATACTTTAACATTACGTTCTTCCGAAAACCTTTCCCTTATGACACCTTCTCATTCCACTAAATTTTATCACAATTCCTTCACTGTTTCTAGCATTAGGTTATGGAATTCATTGCCTGTTGTTATTAGAAGTACAAAATCCATTGATTCTTTCAAACGACAAGTGAAAGATTATCTTTTCTCTATCTGATTTTTCTTCATTTAAAAAATTGGCATTCTTTATTTATGTATTTATATAATTATTTATTTTATGATAGTTTGTTTTCCTTGTGCCTATAATTATTAATATGTATCTTAGCATTGGGTACATATTTGACATATATGCATGGGATTATATAATTTTGTTTGATTGATAGGTATATGTATGTGTGTATGTATATATGTATGTGTATGTATATGTATGTGTATATGTATGTATATATGTATATAATTTTTATATATTTTTAATTTGCAAAAGATGCTTTTTTTAATTATAAAGCACTATTATACCTACTTGTACAACAATTAGTCCATTACCTTAAGGTTGTCTTGAAAAGATTGCTCTCAGCAATAAGACCGCCTTACTGTACTTATACAATCGTATCGTTATGTTTGTAAATTGTCTTGTTTATTTCCTATATTGTATAATGCAAATAAAGTATACTCATTCATTCATTCATTCATTCAAAAATACAAAGGAAATGGCGTTTTGATTTGGTTTAAAGAATATGCCGAAATTCACTTAGTCAAAGCGGCGTTTGGTTGACTGAATAATTAATTAATTTCGAAAATGAATGCCTTATGTATATATATATTAATATAAGAATATACCAAGTTCAAGTAAAGGTATGAGTGGTAATATTCATTTAAAGAGAGATTATGAAAAAAATTATGATAAGTGGGAAGAGAAAGAAGTTAGAAACGATGGATAATGTGATACTTAAGCAAACAAAATTAAATTATATTTTATTTACTTTCACAGATTAACAAATATTATAAAGAGTCATGAAATGTAAATCAGAAGATATATACGATAGAAGTGGTCCACTTGCAACTGTTAAAACAACTATTGTAATGCCTGGTGTTTATTATTCAAGAAATAATACGAGTAGTACGTAAAAATTGTTTACTATTATCAACTTTAAATAACATAATATTAAAGTAAATAAAATTTTATTCATAATGTAAAAATATCCGTCATTTGACTATCTTATCGTGTCGTATAAGAACGTGTTATATGCACATTAAATATCTAATAATTAAGATGATATAATATGTTTTGCAAATTGTCTGACTTGGTTTAACATTTTTCTCTTAAGCATTTAAATCATCTTTTATTTTTTTACTTCCAGGACTATTCAAATCCCGTCAAAATTATCGATACAAATTTGATCGAGTCGTACAAAGAAATGGAGACATCAATGTTGAGAAATTTAACAATCCCAATTTTAATATCTTTTCCCACTGGTTTGTTACTTTGGTTGAAGCCCGTTGGAGATGGGCATTATTTAACTTCTTTGTGGCCTTCATTATCGACTGGTTGTTTTTCAGTTTCATTTATTGGGCTATCGCTTACACTCATGGCGATTTATATGAAGATCATCTTCCACAAAATCAAAATGGATCTAAATGGACTCCTTGCATTAAAAACATTTATGGATTTACCTCGACATTCTTGTTTAGTATTGAAGTTCACACCACTGTTGCTTACGGCAAGAGAGCTATTACTGTACAATGTCCAGATGCAATATTTGCAATGTGCATACAGTGTATATTCAGTTCAATATTTCAATCATTTATGATTGGAATACTCTTCGCAAAATTAACAAGACCAAAAGGGAGAACACAAACTATACTTTTCAGTAAAAATGCCATTATCACTATGAGAAATGGGAAATTGTGTTTGATATTTAGAGTCGGTGATATGAGAAAGTCCAGGATATTAAACATAAGAGCTTCAATGTTCATTGTACAAATGGATATTGGTTCTGAATTTTTAGATGATGTAGATCAAATAGAAATGAAAGCGGAATTAGATGGTTGTGAATCCAGTTTCTTTCTATGGCCTGTTTCTGTTGTACATATAATAGACGAAACTAGTCCACTCTATAAGATATCAGCGGCTGATTTATTTTGTGGTAGATTAGAAATTTTGGTAGTCTTCGAAGGGATTATAGAGTCTACTGGACAACCAGTGCAGGCTAGGTCGAGTTATACTGAGAATGATATTATTTGGGGTCATCGATTTGTACCTTTAATGAAATATGATAGTGTAAATGAAATATTCGATGTAGACTTTTCTAAATTGAATGTAACAGAACAGATAGATACACCTTTATGTTCGTCACATGAATATAAATTTATTGTTACATCTATTAAACATACTGTTAGTGTATGTGATAACAGTAACATACCTACAATGAGATAATATGTTTAACATTAAATAGCGACATTTAAAATGTTACAATCATCTCCGTTTGATTTAGTTTCATTTGGTTTCACAGAAAAGAATTCCTAAAATAAATTGAAATGTATAGTTAAAGAAAACACTGAATTTAAACATGATAAAATTAGTATAAAATCAGATCAACATAGAAGTAAACCTTCCGATTGTAAAATGAATCACGAACATGTGTTTAGATTTGTTAAAACTATTGTGTAACGTGTACATTATTATACATAGGAAAGTGCTATCAATTTAATATTTATAATGAATATATGTGTATAGTGTGGATAGTTATGGTTCACAAGGTTTAGTTAATATGGATAACAATAACATATTTTTATTTGATCAGCTATTACTATAAAGAAGTATTATTATTTAAGTTAAATATATAAGTTAGATTACTACAGTATAATGAAGACGAAAACTGAAGTGTAACTGAGTAACAAGAATCTTCTAGAAATTTTATTTACAATGAATTGTTTATTTTGCTAGATAATTATAAATACATTTTGAAGTGATCGTAATAATTTATACTATAAGCATACATCACTGGCTTAAGTACACAAATTGTTGTGCACCAAGTTACGTGTCTTCATTATTTACAAGATTTTGAGTTGATAAACTTTGCAGAATTTCTAAGCGCCACTGCTTCCGAACTTACTAACAAGTGGAGATGAAGTACTTTCAATTAATTAGCAAAAGTTTAAACTATTAATTAATTGTTAAATCGAGGTACCTACTGCTGATGAAATTGAGCCGAGTCTTGTTATGAATGTAAATAAAGTTTGTCGAGTTATAATAAGTTTGTTTAAGATTATAGATACCGAGAATTTGATGTGTTTGTTATTGAATGGTCTTTTGTTGTAAATGCAAAACTTATGTGCACGACGAATTGTCTGTCAATTCAGTTTTGTGATCACGTTTAGATATTTATGTTTAAATTAGTGATACATGCAACATTTATACTAATGTTTTACAGGGAGATTTTATAGAAAAGTCGTCTGCTTGAGTACTTTTGCCCAATTCGTGTTTATACCGTGAAGCTGTTATTTTGGCATGGCTGTATTGGGATTTAAAGGCAGTGAAATTATAGAGTACAGAGGTATAACACCTTAGTTCTCAGGAATGGCGTTATCATATCGGCCTTTGATTGTTCAGTGCTGAATATAAGCTTCCCCCTTGGGTGGTTTTTGTAGTTGCCACGCTTGGCGGGCGGATTGGCAACCACAGTCAGGTTTTAGAGATGTATTAATGCTGCCCATCCCTCGCCCTCCCTTAGTCGGCTCTTACGACACCCACGGGATAGGAAGGGGTAGGCTATTTTATACCGGGACCACACGACTCGATTGGCCCAATAGAAATTCTATCAAAATCAGTTTAGTAGTTTACTTTTTAAGTCAGTTAAAAAAAATAAGTGGTTTAACAAAAATGTAGTTGGTTTTTTCCTGTGAAACATAATCTTAAACTATAACCTGTTATTTGTTTCAAATAAATGTTACCATTTACAGCATCTTCTATGGTCGTTACTCCAATAATAATACAGTCGAATCGAGAACTGTTTCCTTTTTGAAAATATTTAAAAACGCAACTGCACAGTATTTTCGTAAATTGCATAAACTTAGTAGATTATGAGCCTATAGGGAAATTCACAGTAACATGAAAACTGTCTAAGTTTTAAGTAGTTATTAGTGGTTTTGTGTTAAAAATAATATTAACGTTACAAGAACAAATGCGTCATTCTTCAAGTCGAGAGACTTTAGGTTATAGAATTTCACAGTGCATTAAAGTTAACATAAATAATGGGTATATTCTAAAATACAAATATATATAGTCATTTAAAAAGACATACATACGAACACACACGTCTGTATTCTTAAATATTGTGCGAATATCGAATCCGTGTTTATCATAGTAAAAATATTAAAATAGCTATATTAAATAAAATAATAAGTATCAATTAAATTAAAAGTCGTTAAGTCCTGCTGTCGGCTTGTCGGCAAACAAGCTGACGCCCCCATCTGATGGAAAGTGGTAGCCGTCGCCTATAGACATGAGCAGTACCGTGGACATAACAGAGTATACAGTTATAGTTGAGTATAAAAATTCTTTTATCTAAAAAAATCTACCCTATCAATTAATAATATAGGCTTCATTATATTATACGAAAAATAATGCGTAGCCGGGGCGTGTCGCTAGTATAGTTCAAGTCTGTAAATCTATTAGGACACAAACTATTTCTCTATCAAATTCTAATCAGATCTATCTATCTATCTATCCATTTAAGAGCTGCGCCCTTGTCGGTGGAGCTCTTGCCACTCACTACGATTTTCAGCGAGTCTCTTCACCTCTTGATACGACACGACACCAACTCCTTCCTTGATCTGCCTGATGTAACTATGTCTCGGTCTCCCTCTCCCCCTTCTTCCTTCTATCTTACCTTCTATTATAATGTTCATAAGTTTGTCGTGTCGTATCAAGTGTCCCAACATTTTTCCCCTTCTGTCCTCAATAGTTCTAATAATTTGTCTTTTTTCCTTAACCCTAAGCAGGACCTCCTCATTGCTAATTCGATCCAGATTCTAATCAGATATTTAAGTAAATATTAAGATATAAATAGACTTTTATTGAATTTTCCAAAGCTCGAAAACTTTCTTAACGCATAAATCACAGTAAATGTTGAAGTATAACATTAAGTTTATCAAGTGTTATCTCAAGTTAGTGTCTAGTTTTGCGACGAAAATGTCTAGTTCACTTAAAACTTCGAAGCTTTTTGTTGTAAAGTGATTAACTTATTATTTTATTTATATCGTATGATAATTTAAGGTATTGTTTTACAAAAAAAAAAAACCCACTTGAATTGTAGTAAAACCAGTTATTTAACAGTTTAGTTAGTTAACACTTAACTGCTGAATCGATTTTGATATAATTTCTGTAGGACCTAGAACCTGAAGTGGAGGACAGGGATTGCTAGTAATGAGGTCCAACAGCCCCATTGCTAGCAATATACCCAATCAGGTTAACCTACACGCAGTTCCCCCTGAACCATTGTAGTGAATTATTGTTAAATTCGTCACGAGGGGCTAACAGCCTGCTTTCGTCCTCGCCAATTATCTCTTACTGGTATACCGAAAGCGCAGGTGGAGTTACCATTCTATTATCATCCATTAAAATAATAACTAGTTCGAAGTACGTTAAGTATTCCTATATTATAACTCATAAAGAAGTTTACTTACTCCTTACAATGTACTCAAACTGTGCACAAACACAAAAACACCCATCTACACACGTATACACACTCACACATATATACATAGTTTGAATATAAATATTTTGAATACTAAATTAACATTAAAAAAATATTGTTAAATTTTATAAGTACACATTTTTACTGTAGTACGAAGATGGCAAACGAGCATACAGCTCTACAGGTCTGATGGTAAACGGTCACTGTAGCCTAAGGACGCCTGCAACACTATGGGTATCACGTGCACCTCGCCGAATCTGAAGAAACCTTAATATTCTCTTTTTAATATATAAACAGTTGAAATCAACTACATTGTTTATTTAACAAATTAACTACCTTTTTTTATACAACTTAGAATGGCAAACAAGCTGACGGCCCACCTGATGGAAAGTGGTAACCGTCGCCTATAGACATGAGCAGTACCATGGATATAACAGAGTATACTGTTTCGCCCATGATACCCCCCATGCGTTGCCATTCTCGAGGACTCAGGTGTTATTCCTCTGTACCCTGTAAATTTACGCCATATCCCACACTTCAAACCGAAACACAGCTATGCAAACACAACTGCTTGACGGTAGAACCACGAATGGGACACAGGTACCCAAGAGATCGACTTTTGTACAAAGTATCCCTCTTATTTGGTTTTATTCAATCAAACACATGACAAATAGCCAACATCTTGACAGATAAATGTCAAAACACACGTCACATTTCATATCGCAGTGTAAGGAGCGTGACAATGCCTTCTCCCCGAGGGACGGGGAAACTTCATATGAAAGGAAAGAGGAGGGTATATAAATATTTTATTTTTCTATCAGCCCCCGTTCCCCGTCTAATTTCACATGTAAATAGAATCCGACATGACGTTGAGGTCCCGTAAGAAATGGATTGGATGAAAGCTATGATGTTCAAAAATATGTCGCCTCTAACAAGTTATTCAGAAGTATCACGTGTGATATACATACATATATATATATTTTTTTTTATTGAGGAAAAACTTTTATGGACGCCAGTAATATATTTTTATGTATTGTACATTATGTTTATCGCATTTTATTTTCATGTGTTATGTTATGGTGTTGATAATTTTCTACGTTATGGGAGTGCAATAGTTTTTATGTCGATAAAATGTTGATTCATGTGACAGTAAGTATATCTACTTTCTGTTTAAGCGGCTTTGCTTTTTGTAACTATGTTACGACTAGGGTTACAACTTATGTCGCAGAGGGGGAAGGGGTTGTTAGGAACGGGGTCTAATAGCCACATTGCTATAATAATAATAATCTTTATTCAAAATAGTAAGGTACAGAATTGCTTAAATATGGTCCCCATATGGGTCGAGCCTGTACCTATTAAATTATATAAACTTTTACAAATTCGATATTCCTGTTACTGTGACTGAATAGTTTTATGTATATTGTAAGACTATACATTGCATGTGTGCGTATGCATGTGTGTGTGCGTGTGTGTACACGTGTGTGTGTACGTGTGCGTGTGCGCGTGTGTATGTGTGCGCGTGTGTATGTGTGCGAGTGTGTGTGTGCGTGTGCGAGTGTGTGTGTGCGTGTGCGAGTGCGAGTACGCGTGTGTGAATGTGTGTGTGTGTGTGTGTGTGCGCGCGCGTTTGTGTGTATGTGTGTGTGCATTTGTGCTAGTACCCTGCCTGCTCCAGACAACCTTTGGGTAGATAAGAAAGATTTTATCAATTATGACAAAATTACTTACCTTGGTCTAAAAGTTAAATTATTTAACAGATTTTGATCAAAAATCTATGGCGCCAATATATAAATATATCCTTTTAGATAAAAAAAAAAGAATTATCCAAATCGATTTAGTACTAAAGAAGTTATGAGGTAACAAACAAACAAAATACAACCAAATTGAGAACTATCTTCTTCTTCGAAAGTCCTTTTGAATATACATAACCAATATCGAGTTGGGATAGTTTTGTCGATATAATTATATCGATATTTTTTAATGCTACTCAATGTATGGTTCAATTCTAAACACTACACATTTCTCGTGGTTAACACATTCCAATTTTATATTACTTTTATTATTTACATATTTAGGTATATACAGTTATTTTTATTGTATTATATATCCAATTTTTTACTGGGTATTATTTAGTTTATCTTAAGCTGTACGGTTATTACTCTTGTACATTCTGCAGTTTTCTATCAGCTTCTCAAAGGTTGAGTGTAAGAGATCCCTTTATGGGATAAGTCCGCCATTGTATATTAAATCTTTTAATGAATTCAGTATAAATTAATGTACAATAAAGATTTTACAATACAATACAATTAATTAATTAATGTAGCAAACAATTATTGTAATAGATCAATTGTCAGAAATCAGTTTACAATCGGACATCAATTATTCTTCGCATGCTCAAAATAGCATCATAGTTTAACCATTAGAAACCTTAATGATAAATGATATTTATATCATATAGCTGCATTTAATTTTATTTATAATTACCATAATTTAAGTGTGTGTACTCGTATATGAATAAATAGTGATATCTTAAAAAAGTTTCAATTAACACAAAATAAATAACGACATATGATAGTTTTATACAACTACAGTGTATAGATAACAGAAAAATTGAGACGTTGGTACAAAAGTTGAAAGCTTGGGTACCTCTGTCCCTTTTGTGTTTCAACCCCCCATGTGTTGCCATTCCTGAAGACTCTGGTGTAATTCCTCTGTATCCTGTTAATTTACTGCCATATCCTATTCTTTAAACCAAAACACAGCCATGCAAACACAACTGTTTTACGGTTAAAACACAATTGAGACAGAGGTGTCTAAGAAAACGACTTTTGTACAAAGTCTCTTTCTGGTATGTTAATTGTGATAGTTTTATCGATATAAATAAATCGATAATTTATAACCAAACTTGTCACATCACTATAAAGAAATTCCGAACTTCATAGCTACGAGTATAGTGAATTATTTCATAACTTTTACAATACATCATATGGTAAACTATTTCAACTATGGTCCGTGACATATTCGCCTACAGTTCGAATCGGAACTATCCAGCGTTTAATATTGTAGTTGTTTTTGTTCCGATATTAATAATTCTAATGTGACAAGTTTTAGAAATATTCCAATTGTAACCGTCACGGTATTTGGACGTAGGTTCTGATGAGTTATATGTAATGTATTTATTAAATAGTTCTATGTTCTAACTCATGAAACATGTCCGTAGGGAAGTTATTGTTAGTTAGTTAACATAAAAGTATTTGTATAGATTTATGCCAGTCTTGAGTGAAATGACTTTTTATTTTTATCCTTTATTATATTAATGACTTTGAAATTACTGTATCCCATGGCTGTATATTTTTTTATATACAATAAATCTTTATTATTATTGTAGCTAGTATTTATATCAGTATTTAATCGTCTAATGCTCGACGAATTTACAGGGTACGGAGGAATAACATCTGAGTCCTCAGGAATGGCAACGCATGGGGGGTATCATGGGCGAAACAGTATACTCTGTTATGTCCATGCTACTGCTCATGTCTATAGGCAACGGTTATCACTTTCCATCAGGTGGGCCGTCAGCTTGTTTGCCATTCTAAGTTGTATAAAAAAAAATATAAGTATAACCATATTATATATAACATTATCTTAATAATATAATAAAACTGATGCTATTTCGAATTGGTCTATTTCGTTGATTTTCATACTTCTAAAATCCATGCATACGAAGCAGCGGACAAGAATCCAGTAAATAAATAAAAATATATGAAACTATTTACAAAATACATACATTTTCACTGAGAAATTCTTATGACATTATACTAGCTTCATATCTCAAACTGATCCTGACATTCGAGCCTTTGTCTAAGAGTAAAAATAAATTGTCAAGACAGCACGCAGAAATACCGGGAACATGATAGTGGGACATATTGTTTTATTTTGTAAATGGACGTCACGTATTTTGAGCACTCAAAACATGGGAAATGCGTAACTTATTAACATTGTCAAGTATTTTTTTATACAACTTAGAATGGCGATCAAGCTGACGACCCACCTGATGGAAATTGGTAACCGTCGCCTATAGACATGACCAGTATCATGGACATAACAGAGTATACTGTTTCGCCCATGATACCCCCCATGCGTTGCCATTTCTGAGGACTCAGGTAGTATTCCTCTGTACCCTGTAAATTCACTGCCATATTCCACCCTTCAAATCGAAACATAGCCATTAAAACACAACTGCTTCACGGTAGAAACACAAATGGGACAGAGGTGCCCAAGCAATCGACTTTAAAATTTCTGTAATAAAATTGTAACTAGACTATGTGGGTATATGGCAGATACATATTTAAGAGAAATTATACTATTATAAACTATGCAAAAATTTCCGCGGAATAAGCCTTCTTAGTGTTGTAGGCAAATTGTATGCTAGGATTTTGATTAAAAGAGTGATGAATGAGACGGAAAGTAAAATTTGGGATGTGCAAGCAGGGTTTCGAAAGGGTATGGGATGTACGGATCAAGTCTTTTCCTTAAGGTGCATAACAGAGAAAACCTTAGCTCAACATCAGAAGGTTTTCTGCGCCTTCATTGACCTTGAAAAGGCTTATGATAGAGTGGAGAGGAATGAACTGTGGTCAACACTGGCAATGTATGGGGTGAGCAGCCATTTGATACGGGCTTTCAAATCTTTATATAAGGATTCAAATGCCTGTGTCAGAATAAATGGAGTCTATACAGACTGGTTTGGCATTGAACGCGGTGTTAGACAGGGCTGTGTAGCGTCTCCTTGGCTGTTCAACCTATTTATGGACAGTTGCTTGACCGATTTGAAAGGATCTAATTGTGGATTCAGGATGAATGAGTCTCTGTTTAAGACTCTTTTATACGCCGACGACCAAGTACTTTTTGCATCGTCGGAGTATGAATTACAACAAATGGTGACTATAATGAATGAAGCGTATGCAAGAAAAGGTATGAAAATAAATGCGAAGAAGACGAAGGTAATGGTTTTTGAGAGGAATGAAAGTTTAACGGCATGCCAGATTATGATAGGAGATGAAAAAGTGGAGCAAGTGAGTGAGTTTCTATATTTAGGTTCTTTGTTTACGAGGGATGGGAAGTGTGAAAGAGATATTAAGAGGAGAGTAAAAGCGGGAAACAGTGTTAACGGTGCATTGCTCTCGATTATGTCAAGTAAAAATGTATCGAGCAAAGCTCGCCTTGCTATAATTCAAGGAGTACTGACACCAACACTCATGTATGGAAGCGAATCGTGGGTATGGCAGAAGAAGCATGAAAGTAAGATAAATGCTGTACAGATGAGAGCTTTGAGAAGTATGTGTGGTATTACTTTAAAAGATAGAGTAAGAAACAGTGTGATCAGAGAGAAGTGTGGACTGAAAGTCGATGTAGTGACCAAAATCGAAAAAGGAATGTTGCGTTGGTTTGGTCATTTGGAGAGGATGGATGAAAGAAGAATTACGAAAGAGATTTATCGAGCAAGAATGAATGGAGATGTCGGTAGGGGCCGCCCTAGACGGACGTATGTCGACCAAATAGGCGACGTGCTGAAGAAGGGCCAAATTAAAAGTACCCGTAACCGACGAGCGTGTATGACAAGATTGATGAATGTGGAAGAAGCGAAAGAGGTTTGTTTGAATCGAAGCATTTGGCGTTCCATTGTTTCTGCCTACCCTAATGGGAGACAGGCGTGACAGATATAAACTATACTAATTAACTTAGAGCCTAGATGGTCGCGTACGGCGCGGTTTCAGAGATGTTTCTTCCCACGAACGCTTAGGTTATGGAATGAGTTCTTTGTCGAGGTTTTACCAAAAGACTACAGCATGGGGTTCTTCAAAAAAGGGCTCAAGAGGTTTCTAAAGAGTCGGTAACGCGTGTGTTAGATTTTTTTTAATTATATTAATATTCTTATACATATTGTGTTAAAATGCGTACCTACATTTATTAATAAAAATCATACTAACTACTTCAAATATTATAAAATATTAAAATTGTTATTACACCAAATTTTGTAATATTTTTGTAATGTATATAAAACATTAATTTATATTTTAATTGATTATATAATTATTTATTATCATGATACTTGAATAAAAAGTAATAAAATTGTAAGAACACGTGGTATCGTTGACTTGTTTACTCGAATTCGGCAGTATACTCGTAGATATAAAACATTGTTATTTGGGTGGGGAGG